ACATGCCTAAAGCAGTGGTGTTATGTTCAACAGCTTGTTGAAAACCAATCTGTCCCCGTTTAAAAATCAACCACTTAGCAACCTAGCCACGCACTTTTTGCGTTCTTTAACTTGATAATCTCTAATTATTCTGGCTCTGAATTCCAGTGAAATGGGGTTCAGAGTAATTTTATGGATGTCATTCTTTATTTTAATATTGTCTAATTTAAAAGAAAAATATTTCAGATAACAACAACATATTTTGAGGGGAAAAAAAAGAATGAAAACCATTTCTGTTCCAAAAATTGCTGATATGAGAATTTATGGGGAAACAGCTCCTTTTATGAATAATTATTATTATTGAGTTTAAGAAATGGGCAAGATGCCTAGAAATTGAATGAAAGAATGAGCTATTAAATTGAAATATTAAATGAAATAACTGAATTAAAAGTGATCATGTAAACCCAGCAGTAAGTGTTGGGAGCTGTAGCTGATTGAACATATTTTCATCATCTGTTTTGTATGCTGAAATACAATTACTTGATGTAAGTAAACACTTGATTGATATTCTGAATACTTTAAAATCTGCATATGCATCATGGAATACTGAACAATTAAAACTTAATTTCAGTGTAGTTTGATTACATGTAAATTTTATCAATATTCATTTTTTCCTGTTCCGTTTGCTCGGTGTATATTTAATATCCACTTTTTGAATGTGTATCACTCTTGATTGGACTGTGAGATGAGGAGGACTCTGAAATTTCTTCCATTAAAAAGGATTGCCTTATAAATATTATTTGTGCCACAGCTCTTCCCCTGCAGATTATTTTCTAAATGTTGTGTACTCTTATTGAAGACAAGGAAAAAAACTGCTGCAGCCCTCCTTTATCAGCCCAGCACAAGGAATATGCTTACATGGTCGATGAGCATGTCTAAGAAGGCTTGTTGGTTGTAACTAGTCCCTAAAGAAATGTTTCCATCTTTTCTGCACTATATTTCTTGCTTGCATGAGCTCCCTTTCCCTTCCTTTCCTCCTCCCTCCAAATGATTTTTTTTTCTGGTTCCTGGAGGTCTTTCGAGGCATTTTAATTTTATGGCTAAATATTGCAAGTATTTTCGAGTTGACCATTTTCAGCACGAAAAATGTATCTCTGTCTTTAAGTGACCACATTCAATTTAGCTGTTGTGGAATACATATGACATATATTTGTAGAACCTCTCATAAAAACCAAAGAGACTTCTTTTCCCTTCTCTGCAGGCTGCAATCCATGCATATTGTTTCAACCAACAGTATTTAAAATTGCTTTATTTCTGGACATCCAACAGGAAGAAACCCTGGCCATTTGATTCTCTTTTTATTTATGACAGTGAACAGGATAGCCTCTCCAAAGTTACAGATAACATATTTTTTTACTACTTATATATTTTATTTAAAAATAGAAGGCTTTCCTGGCATCTTGTCAGTTAAGTCACATCCCAAAATACAGGCAGACATCAGGTCTGCCACTTCACTGAGGAAGGCGGGTTTGGATTCTTCTCTACCTTGACCATTTTTGACCTGCATGACCTCTGTCATACCACTCACATTTCCCCTTGATTTCCTTGTCCACACTAATAGCCACTTTTTATATTTTTGTAGAATACAGAGAAACATTGCATACGTGAATACAATAGCAGCATTATTTTATTACATGAGAATTTGAAGTTAATATTGTATCTACTAAATGGCTTGCAGGGGGATGTTTTCCTGTATGTCCTACATAGTTAATTGCAGTTTGAGGGTTTTAATCTTGAAGGTCATATTTCTGTTGCCTGTCACTTTGACCAAATGAGTGGCTGAACTTCTTGGTTTGTAGGTGGATTTCCTTATCTCTCTTTTTCAAGAGACATATAAGTCTTGATTGCTGGAGTTATTGTGAAACAAGCAGTTGCAAGGTGGAGGAAGGGGTGGGAAGACACCAGGGCCCTGTAGATTCCATTTTAGAAAGCAAATATTGTGCCTTGTGATTGTGGCACAAGAACAAAAGGGAGAGTGTTTTGCTTGGGTTTTTTTTCTTTTTTTGAGGAGCTGATAAACTATAAGTGAGTGTGCTAACAACAGCAAGAGGTCTTCCCACGACAAAACATGCTTTATAAAACAGACATGATTGGCTTGAGGTTGGTCTCATGCTATATAGACCTCTCTCTAATGATTCCTGTAGATGAAAACCAACACAACTTTCATACCAAAGAGATTCAAAATAACCATTATCTTCTAGTAAAGCTGGGTTAAAAAACCCTGGACATTCTTGACTGATTTAATACTGTTTGCCTTAGTAATGCAAACTTGTCACTTGTCTTTAAAACCTTCACTTTATTTTAAAGTAATTCCTTTTATAATAAATTATGAAGTAACTGGGACTGTTACTTCCAGTTCTTGGTTTGTGAAGAGCATTTCTAGATACTCTTTATTCCCCCTTTTTTTCTTTGGTACAGATCTGAAAATATTGAGCTAACTTCACAGTTTTATGAATAGGGTCCATAATGGGACTGAAGTATGTATGTTGATTAAAGGGAAAAAAATTGAAATCTTTGTGAAACTATAAAGAAATGACAGCTAAGGCTGTTCTGCTGTAAAATCAAATGAAAAAGTTACTTTACATTTTTTGGTTGCAGACATTTTTGCCTTTGCTAAAGCAAATGTCATTCAGATAGTCTGTATATAGTGATAACTTTGGGAAAACAAAATAATGATAGACATTCTTTTTAGCTGGTCGTATAGCTGGTTTCTGTTTGGTTTCCAATTTCCCCTCTAACTACTAAGAATGTGTATTTAATCTGTAATGAGAAAAAAAAAAGTGCCAGAAAAAAATATATACATGATAGCTGTTCAAGATAAACATATTATAACGTGTACTTATTTGTCTTAATTAAAGCATAGCTTCAGAAGCAGCATTTCAACACTACATATTTTAGTGGAAAAACCCTCATAGGAATCATGCTGAAAAGCTTCAAACACCTATGATAAAATGGGGGTGCACTGCCTGCTTCCTAGTGATCAAGAGGTTAACTTTAATTCATCCCCTCCCCTCCCTTAAACTGGTTCTGTGAGGAGAGCTGCAAATTAGTACTTGGAAGACACAGCAGGGAGATTAGCTCTAGGGAGGAAAGGACTCCCCACTCCAGCTCTTAGGAACCTCACCTGGAGAGTGCATTTCCTTTTCTACTTAAGCTAACATATTATGCCTTCTTGTCACGAATGTTATTCCTTGAAGGAAAAGTCCTCTCTGGTTCTATCTTGCAATCTGCTGAATCATTCCAAATGTGCGGTGGAAGGGAGCGATAAGGCTGTAACAAGAGGGAGGCAGAAAACCGCTGAGGCTTTTGCCAGAAACAGGAATCCCGGCATGGTGCCTCTTATGGGACTCCTTTACCCACCAAGGGGAAGGAGGATTCCCATCTTTCCTCTTCTTCACGCCGTCCTGAGGAGGAGCTACATCACTGCCCACTGATTCCTAAGATACCACCAAGGCACAGAACTGTATAAATTCTGGTATCTGTGTCATGCTGCCTGACAATATTCATTTGGCAAACACAGACCCTGAGAAATCACAATGCTGCTTTTTGCCCCAGTCATCTCCTTCCTAAACTTCAAGTATCTACAACTGATACACTGTTGACATATAACAGGTGAAAAGGGGGAAAATTTACCAGTAATGGGAAAAATAGAGAAATCATTTTACATGAAATCAATCTTTTACCTCCCAAATGAAATAACACTGGGGTATTTTGTTGTTTTGCATTTCCAAAAATAATCCCCAAATCTATTTTCATAGGTAATTTTAAACAGTTAAAAGTGGGAAATAGAAGAAAATGTGTACAAATAAAATCACTTTCTCACAGTATATTGTCACATAATAATTATCTACATCTAGTATAAGAGAAACATTAGCCCAGTGCAGAATTTCCCATTGGGATTGGCGTTTGCCAGTGCCATGTTGTGCATATATATCCTCAGAAATCTTCTGATGGATGGCTTGTTTCCTTCCACTTCTATGGAATTCCAAAGGATTGCAAGCAACAGGATATGTACAGCCTTGCACAGTATGTCCATCCCATGTGGGTATTTGCTGTAATTCCCAGGAGATTGTGTGTGGTGTCTGGGTGGGAAGAAGGTGTCAGTCTGTCACCACAAATGGAAAGAGCTGTTCTTCAGCAAGCTCTCAACACACCAAAGGAATGGTCTCAGTGTGCCATGGAACAGCCCTCCTGGCTTAACTATGAAGTTCCACATCCACACTGCCCCTTCCTACTCCACTGCATCTCTATGTGGTGCTGAGGTGGCGCCTTCTAGAGCACATCCAGGAGTAATTTTTGCTTGTGATTTTTGCTCTTTTCCCGCTAATTTTACCTCATTGACACAATCTTCTTCACCACAGAATCTCAGAAAACTCTCAGGAGTCTGTGCCAGTACTGGGCTAAGGTAGTTATGAGACAAAACAGGGTCACCCCCTACCTTTTCAGTCCCTAAGGACTGAAAGTCATCTTTAGGATGACTTGACTGGATTATCATCTTCAGAAAGCTGTATTGAGGGGTCTGCAAGGCCAAAACTCAATACAAATTTCTACAGGGACCTCCAAAGTCATGTGAGATTTGGGATTAGTACTTTCTGTAGAGGATTTTGAGGTTCCTACCAGCATTGTTGGGGATACCATTTATCTATGTTGTGGCTGGTATCTTTGTAAAGGATTGATTCGTAATGATCTACAGTTCGGCTCCCTTCAGACACGACGAGATCTGATGGGACTCAACACTGAACATAACACTTCCTGAAGGTTTTAAACAATGAAGAAGACTAAGAGGTAGCCACTGTCCTACCTCACAGTTTTGCAATCTGAATATGAGCCTATCGAGTTTCCCCAATAAAGCTTTAGCATCTCTTTTTATGATTATTGCAGGACTTCGTCTGTCCATTGGCAGTATTCGATGCAGCTCTTAAATTAACCTCAGCAAGTGACATGTTTCCTTTTTCTTTCAGGTATCAAAGGTTTGAAAAAGCGTTTCTGCTTGCTGTTGACATAGGGGCTCGGGACCTGTTTATGGTGAGTCATTTCTGGAGACAGAGGCTGTTGTCAGGATGTTAAAATGGTTCTGTGTCATTTGCAGTCTTGGACAAATACTGAAGACAGAACTTTTCTACCTGCTTTGCCCTTTGCCATCATGGAACTCATCAGTAGGGATTAAGTATCTTTAGAGTAATTGACATATTCCCCAGCATGGCCTACAGGCCATCCTTTATTTTTCAGGAATTATTGTATATGTTTTTTAACTTTAACCTTCTCTGTCTGACCTGACGTGGGTGAATGTCATCTTCATTCTAATAAGTTTATACATTTCTAATGTGTTCCTTTAAGTCCAACTGCTGTGTCCTGGACACAAGAGCTGTCCATATCCTGGGGATCCTGAATGCTCTTAGTTTGTCTCTTAGGGTTTTGTGAAAAGGGACAAATTATGAACGCCTCTGCTGGTACTTTTAAAACAACAAAGCTCAGCAGCATCAACACAAGGGTTTTAACATTTTATGCACTCTCTGCCCCCTCCCATTTAATTAGCTACAAAAGTAAAATTAACCAGCTCTTAAAAGGTCCTCTGTGTGAGCTCTGCAGGAGGTTCTTGTTTTATAAGATCGTGCACCGCAATGTCACAGTGAGGTCAGATGGACAAAGCCAATCGTGCTCTCCTAGTCTCTCAGCATGTTGCTGCTCCACAGCTGATTTCATTGTTTTCAAAGAAACAATAGGAAAGGGCTTGTTGAAAAAAAAGCCCTTTGAACGATTCGTTTGCTTGACTCTTTTGCATAATGAAGACATTCTGTTGTTTAAATTAAGCTTTGACACTTGATGTTAATATCATTTATCCCATTAAGTCACTTGCCCTGCTAGTTTGATCTTGATATTTAAATTGTATGTTAAATTACACAATTAAATCCTGCTTTTAGGGGTTATGAAAATTCCCTTCTAATTATATAAAAAGTTGTGTGAACCTTTTGATGTTTTTTTCATGGCTCTAATCATCTGGCTTGTTCCATCTAATTAGAAAGATGTGAATACTGCGATAAACTTTCCTAAGTATGCATCAAAAGAATGTGATGGAAATGTCAGACTTTTAGGAAATTCATTACATGGTCTGTGTTTACTCTCCTCGATTTTTCCTCTTTTTAGATCGTCTTTTTTCTTTTCTCTTTTTATTGAACATAACCTCCTCAGTACAGATTTTATACCTAATCATGCTAAACACTGCCACAACTACTTATAAGATTCAGACTGTAGGATGTTTGGAGCAGCTTTTTATTGAGGGCTCTCCCACTGTACAGATAATAAATTCTCCCTAATTTTAGCCATGCTGGCAGAATAAATGACCCCTCATTTGGCATACCATCTAAAGGGCCCTCTTTCATATGACTGAGAGCATTTCCTACATGATCTTTTTCTCTTTCCTTCCCTCTGCTGGCAGCAGGATTGAGGGAGGACCTCTGTCCCGGGGCAGGGCGGGGGACACCAGTGTTGGGTCATGAGATGGGTGCACAGCTGCTAACAAGAGGGAGGGACTGTCAGTACTAGCTCCGCAGGTGATATCATGTTCTGCTCTCAACAAAAAGGTTCTCCAGCTTTTTTCAAGAGGAGGTTCAATGTTCACCAAGAAATTAACTCTATCCTTTCCTACTCTTTCTTTTTCCTTTCGTCTCTCAACACCTACTCTTCATTTCCCATCCTACCAATGCCCTTCATCATAAATATATACTTCCAAAGAGTTTCCCCTGGCTTATGTTACTGTGAGATCAAAACCAGTTCTTTAATGTCCTTGTTCTGCTTGCATTGCCTTTGAGATTCCTCATAGTTTCCCCTAAATTATGCAACAAGCAGCCCGCATACCTGCCTCCTCTAGGGAAATGTCCTTTTACTAATTCCTTTTCTAAGTAAGTTATAATGAACAAACTTTGCAATAAGCTAACAGTGGCACTACTGCAAGACCACTAAGTACAGGACTCAAGAAGCTGAAACATGCATAGGTCATTACAAGTATTTATTTGTGCTATGGTAGTTTCTAGGGAATTTGGTTTCATTGTGCTTAATACTGTGAAAATTAGATAGCCTGTTCCTTGAAACCTTACAGTCCTTCTAGGTATTAATATAACAATATTAATATTAATATAACAAGACTACTGCTAAGCAAGGTTTGTACATCCCTCACTTCTGCTTAATACTGAATGATTCCTGTGTATTGTTTATATAAATCAAAATGCAATTAATAACATACAACTTGACTTTACATATGTTTAAATCCTTTTAATCCATTTTTAAAATCTCAGATGGCTCTAGGAGTCACATCACCTTATTCCAGTTAATTAATAGAATTTCAAGAAGAAATAGTAGTCTAAATAAAGACATCTGATGACAAAGGCAAAATGAGAAAGAAACAAATCTGTTTATTAAAGGAGAACAGAGAAGCAATAAAAAAGGAAGGATAGAGAAGAGCAGATATAACATAGGCTGAGGCAGATGCAAACATTGAACAGCTGTCATCTGAGACTTCTGAGAAAATGTCCTGTATCTTGGAGAATTTATCCTGAGCATGTCTTTCTCCAAACAGGGCTCTGCAGCATTCCCATTATTTGTTTTGAAATTATCGCAGAGAAGTTTGAGGAAATGCTATCTGAGGGCTAGTTTCTTTCATAGAAATGAAAAAGAAAAAAAAAACTTAGAAGTTAGTCCTATGGCTATAGCATCACTGGTATGATGCCATAACAAGACAAAGATACACTGCTGTGTCTCTCCACAAGCTTTACCCTCATGTCACATCTAAGTCCATCAATTAATATCATCTCCTACAAAGTTCAATAAAAAAATAAAACTGAAAGGGCCATAATATCATGAACAACAGCTCCATTTATTGGACAGTGACTGATCCAATCTGTGACAGAAAAGATCAAGCAGTGGAAAGGTTGTTAGCTTGAAATCCTTTTATAGTACGTTCCAGCTCTCAGCTGCTGAAAATTCAAAAGGCCATCCCACGTACCAAAGGTAGCAGAAAAAAGTGCAAGGAAAAGACACTTTAATAAAACTGTCAGATCTTGGGTGATACACAGATGAGGGAAGTGCATGCTTCGAAGAAATGTTGGAGTGTTGCCCAGAAATATCCTATAGACAAATGCACATCAGTGTTTCAAATGACTTCTGCTCACCAACGGCCAGCTCTGTGAGTCACAAAGGTGAGGGTAAAAAAAGGAAGTAGTCCAAAAAGTAAGCAAACTGTTAAATGATAAAATACAGCCCTTTCAGCAAGCTCCCAGTAAGCAGCTGGAAATTGTTTTTATTGTCACCATTGTTTTTGAGAAGGATGTGATCTTTGGACTGATAAATTCTTAGGTAATTGTGTGAAAAAAAAATCTTTCATGAATGTTCAGGTAATTTAATTGTCTTTTTTCTGTCATTCTTTAAACCACCTTGTAATCTGGTGTTCCTTCTTTCTCTTTTTTAATTTTCTAGTTTAGTTCTACTCACAGAGTCATAAATTCATAGAAAAATCTAATTTTGCTTGTTTATTTGAATGAGAAACACCTAAATTTAATCTGAAATGGTCTAATTAGGAGATTTTATTTTGGTAATCTTTTCTTTCTAAAGCTTGTTTAGAGAGGAGATAAAAGCAACTTTTTTTTTAATTCTTCTTCCTGACAGCAACTTGAGGAATAACAAAGAAAGCCACTTAGCAACCTACTGCTAACCTTTATTTCTTACAAGGCCCCTGTTAGTCAATGATGGATATGTGGCATCTTTACATTTCTTTACCCAAAACAGAAAACAGGCAAAACCAAGGTCTGAAATACCAGCTGCTTTGACACACACGGAATGCACAGCTTCTTTGCTGACAGAACTTCTTCATTTTCCGCAGCTGTTTCCATCTTCTCCCCAAGTTTATTATTTAAAGTTACATGGAGGTGTGCAATACTTCTCATAGTTTAAACTACAAAAAGACAGTCATTAAGCGTTGTCAGAATGTATTTTAAGTGTCTGCCTGTACATTCAAATCTCTATAAGTTCAGACTTGTCCAAGAGCCCTTGGGTTTTCTATTGTTATCTTAATAAATAAGCTGACAATATCTGCTGTTTAATCTTCATAGAAGTCATACCTTGCTACTCAGGCCCTTTTCTCCCAACAACCATGTTAGACCTACTAAGAGAGGAAATACAGAGTTCGCCACAAGTTCGTAACTCATTACTTTGCTCCAAGACACTTGCACATTTTTTAAGTCACACCTGTGTTTGTGATGAGAAAAAGCTGCTGTCTCCTGCAGACTGTGGAGATCCTGAAAGTCAGGTCCAGGCTTTCTTGCATAATCAGTCTCAATTTCCCTAACGTTCTCAGTTTGGGTCTTTTTTTTTTGTTTTTTTAATTTTTTATTGCTATTATTAAATGAGGGGTTAATAAGGGCAGCACATCTTTCTGCTAACACTATTACTCTCACTTTTTTCATATAACTTCTCTCTGTAGACTAAAGTCACTTTTCTTGTAAGAATTTCCGTCATATTGATGAAAATGGCAGTAAATTCACACCAAGAAGGACAGTTTCACCTGAAATCTTCTGCATTACTGAGAATATAGTTGCTTTTATGGTATGCAGAGGTCAATATTTCCAGCAAATACTCCTTTCCCCTTTAAATTCCTGCATGCAGATGGATTGCAGAACAAAGGAATGACTCAAATCTCTGGATACCAAATGGCATTTTCAGCAATGAAGTGCGGGGAAAAAAAAAATTGCCAACTGTTCTTGGATTACTCTCACTTTCTGTGTCACAGTTCATGCACAGAGCAGCATGACGCCAAATGAGAAGGGGATTAATTATCTCTTTATTAATGGTCAAGGATGAAACTTTACTTCAATGGCCAAAACCAGGGGCAGTGAGACTGTAATTTGTCAGCAGGAATATATTCTTGAACAAATAGTGCTCTATGTAGTACTGGTGGTTTTCACCTCAAATATTAATATGAAATAAAAAACCTTGACTTTTGACAAGGTCATGTAGGGATAGCACAAGGGGAAATGGCTTTAAACTGTAAGAGGGCAGGTTTAGGTCAGATATTAGGAAGAAATTCTTCCCTGAAAGGGTGATGAGGCTCTGGCACAGGTTGCCCAGGGAAGCCCCATCCCTGGAAGTGTTCAAGGCCCCGTTGGATAGGGCTTGGAGTAACTTGATCTAGTGGAAAGTGTCCCTACCCATGGCAGGGGATCGGAACAAGATGATCTTTAAGGCCCCTTCCAATCCAAACCATTCTATAATTATATATAATGATACATCCCTGCTGCAGCCCTCTGATTTTTAACCCTAAATGAAGGAGTAGATTCAGAGTATTAACAGCTATTCATGCTAGACAGCAACATTTTTGGAAGGCCCCTTGTTGTCCAGGAGTGACTCAGGAATCATGTCAGCTGGGTGGATGTTAAAACCATTGAGCTGCTACTGTTGCTCTTATTACCTCCAATATCAGCCCGAGGAGGACCACCATCACCTTACTCAAAGAACAGTGAGTGAACATGACAGTCTTCAAACAAAAATTAGTGCCTACAGATCTTTACCCCAAAACTCATGTACCAGGTGGAAACCTTCGAATCATAGAATCATTAAGATTGGAAAAGACCCCTAAGATCATCAAGTCCAACTGTTAACCCATTACCAACAGGTCCACCACTAATCCATGTCTCTAAGCACCACATCTACTTTTAACACGTTTCAAATACAGGCTGTCAGCCAGAAGAGTTCAATACTTGAGGTCTGGTTTACACAGAGCCACCTCCTGTCAACCCTCTTTTAATTCGTGTTGCACCAACAGACTTTACTTCAAAAGTAGTTAGGTTTCTTTCATACCCTCAGTCAATAGCTTCACTTTTATTAGTGTGTGATTGGTCAGTGTTTTATTCATTGCTGTATTCAACAGCACAAGTAAGATAATAAATTTGTATTGGGCAGGAATTAAAACGTAATGGTAGGTTCATCAGTTCCATCTGTGTTTGTGATCTAAGTAATAAAAGAACCTCTTTCTTTCAAAATCCCTTTTGTTGCTCCTATTGAGATTCATTTTAGATTAATCTCTTTTTTTCTGCTTTATTTCCAAAGGACATCCATTACCTTGCACTAGATAAGGGTGAATTGGCACTAGCTGAAGTGGCAAAGAGAAAGGCTAATGACATTGATACAGAATCAATAACTACTGGAATTGGTAAGAATTAATGGTGTTTAAAAAGCCCTTTTTGTTTTAATCAATACTTGTCCTGTAGAACATGGTGTTATATTTGTAGGGGAGTTATTGTTTTGATTGCACTGTTTTCTTTGAAAGTGAGACTGTATTTTTATTTGTAACTAAATAACTGGATTTTTATTCATAACTAAAGAAAGAAGCTTATAAAAATAAACACCAACTCTCAAACTTTGCCTTTGAGTACCCATATGAGGATAGCTATGAAGCAAAAAATTTATACTATGGCTATATAGAAAAGTTGAGGCTGTACAAACTGAACTGAGTGTGAGAGGTAAGGGATTGAATTTGAAAATTGCTGTTCATATCAGCATTAAAGGCCATGTATGGCAATCTCATTCACCTGCAAATATTTGCTGGTGCACACTATATGAATAATGGGAATCACATCCATCATTAATGCTTTGGCAGCATTCGGATGGAACACTTACTGATGTCAACATGGCCTCAGATCCTGGCTTTAAAGCAGCAACTTTGCTTGCAGTGGGATTCTTGCTGTTCCATAAGGAATATTGATGCAAAAGTTGCAGCATTAGATTAATTGCTAAAACACAGACAACTTTTCAGGCAGCGGAACTCATTCACTTTCTCCTTGTGTTTCTTCTGAACCGACATGGAGAAATATATGCAAATACTTCAGACCCCTCTGATTTCATACTCTATAGCATGAACCAAGCAGAAGGTGTCTGTGTCTTGGCAGTTGACTTCCATCAGAGAGAAAGTAGAAAAGGATAAAAAAAATCAAAACCACAAAAAGTTTATATAAAATATGCACAGTTCTGTGTTGCTTATTCTTCTGCATCTTTGAATATTAGAGGAAATCACTGAGCTTTTGTTCTTGTTCCATGCCAAGAGGTAGAATAGGTTTAAAACTCAGAAGTGTTTTTCATGAGTCAGAGTCACAAAACCTTTGAGATCTTGGGTAACACAGGATTCTTTTAGAGCTGTACATCTCCATGTTTACCCAGAGCATACAAACAAATGCCACTACAATACATACAAATGCAGAGGCATTGTATGCATTTATGTGGCTGTTTCTATCAATTGCATAAATCCATGACTTTCAGGGCTATGCAATACAGTATCACCTCCTTTCCTCTCCGGCAGAGTAGGAATCAAGCAGTGCCTGTCCTGAACTCTTTTCTTCAGGGTGTTTAATTTTCATGCTCAAGTCACTTCAAGCATTTTTTCCACCACAACTGGACCTTTGGTCAATCCCTTTCACCACTGGAATTCCAAAAAAGAACATTTGTTATGTTCTTTCTTTACAGAGCACTCTTTAAAAAGTACAGTCACATCTCCTTTGCTTTCTCTTCTCTTACTTCTTAGGTATTTGTCTGCTGCACCAAATATAACTGAGATACCTAGGACTTGCATCTGATCATTATCTATTCTCTGACACTGAATCCAGAAGATTTAAACTCTAGTATGTGTCTTAATTCCTTTCAAACTACCATTATTACTAGATTTCTGAAGTTAGGCTATTTTTAAGTTTACTAAGAGCCTTTTATAGTATTGGAGACATATGTGCAGGGAGAGGGACAGGGAAAAAAACTGAAGTGATCACAAATGTTTTACTTGCATATCAAATGTAATACACGTGTTACTACAGTTCATTATGATTATTGTGTGCAGGCACAGTCTTCCCCTCCTCCAGACCAGTCCTACAGTTACCTCTGCAATGCCCCATTAGCATAAATTATTAAAGTCATTTTATATGATAAAGTGTTTTGCTGAATAATTAACTATCAGAATGATTTAAAATAGTTTTCAATGCCCCCAGGGACAAACTGTCACTGAGATTCAGTCTCTAAACAGTAATGAATTTGCATCCAATTCATTTTGTATGAAAATAATCAGGGATCTCCCATGAGTTTGTTTCACTGCAGATTGGATCTCACCTTAAACATGTGAAATATCAGCCACAGATTTTGTTTTATTATAGCTTGTTCCAACGTCCTTTCTTTATGATGTTATTATTTCATAAACTGTTGTTGTCAAAGAAGATGACATGAGGTATGAACTTCGTGGACCCAATGAAAACAAAAGATAAGAAGTGCTTTATATGTAACTTGCTATATTTTTCTAATATTTTGAGAGGGGGAGAAAAACTCATGCCAGAGCCAGAAGTTCTAAAATGCAGTTTCAAACAAGTCTCTATCCCCTAACCATTTCCCAAGCCCAGTCCTCTTTGTCTAGTCCCTGCTCTCTGGAGCCTTCAGCCACTCGGTTCACCAATGGTCACTTCCCAGGTCAACCCCCAAACTTCTTGAACACCCACTTCAGGCTTCTACAAGAAGACAGTAACCTAAGCAAACAGAGGCAACAAAGTGCAATCAGTGCTACTGAGGTTATACTGGGCACCTCTCTACAGCACATTTCAAATATATATATATTACAGTATAATATTTGATCCTAAATAGTACAAAAGCAAACCATTCTCGTGTATCTGATGAAATTTCCTGAGTTAACCCATCCCCAAAATTCAACTCAGCGCTACTTGAAAATAAGATGAGTCATTGCTCCTGGCTCATTCCCAAGCCTTTGAAAGTGCTCCATCTTGCCCCAGATATATTTAATTTGTCAAGATATTTCTGTGTACAAGGCTCACTTCAAACATAATATATTTCAAACTCAGACTTTAGGAAAAGTTTCGAACTCCTACAAATAATGCAGAATGACAATATAATTTCATCTGAAAAGTATAGGTGTCATCCAGAGGTCTGTAATCATTGGTAGATTCCTCACATATATCAAAATTTATGTCAAGATAAAACTAAAAATAGATTGATTATTTTAAAACTTTCTGAATTTTGGTCTTTCTCAGTTCATCACATGATTGTGGTTTGGTAGACACCATTTTGGAGGAGCCACCCTCAAAGCTAAGGATGTTTGTGGGCATATGGTAAAAACACCTGTAGACCTCCAGAGCACAGCGGTTTGGTGAGAATATTGCTGAGCAAGATGAAGTGTCAAGTGAACTATGGTTTTGGCAGAATCAGATATTTTGTTCACCTGATTAAAATCTTCTAAAGAAAATTATTCTCATAAGATTTTATGTTTGACAGCCTGTAAAAATGCATCTTGAGAGATGAGAAGATTGAAGTAATGGTCCCATACATCTCAGAAGCAGCATTAGCTGTCTCCTCTTTCCCTGCTCCTATTTGATCAGCAGACCACTGGCCATAGATACTGTGGTTTCTTCTGCCAAAGATTTTCTCTTGAATTACTTCTGTAGAAGACCCATGAGTTCCTTAACGAGGTCAAGGAGTTCTCATTTAGCCTAAAATGTATGCTGTGCACCTCATTTCACTTGATTAAAAGAGAGGATAAATATTTATTCAATATTGACAATATATGTAGGCTACTAATAAATTCTGTTTGTGGGTGTAACCTGGCATACACTCTCCTGGAACAGTATTGTTTGTGGTGGTAGAGTGTGTCTGTTCAGTGCTGTAAACTGGAGGTTGCTAATGTAAAACCTGAGTTGCAAAGAACTGACATGGCACAGCCTGTTAAGAAATGCCATAACTAATAATGATCATGGAGGTGAAGAACTCAGCCCTTCAGACATCATTGCTCAATGAATATCCAACAAAGAGCATATGTAGGCAGTGTCAGAAAGTTTCCCAAGGCCAACTTCCAACAAATTACATTAGGGCCTAGCAAGATGATTTTAACCTTCAAATCAACAGCTTTCACCCAAAAGGGATTCATGTTGTGACAAGACAGATAACTGCTGCATAGTTGAAAGGCAAATTGGGAAATCTTGTATTTCTGCTTAGAAAATTCAGAATATTAGTAACACTAATGTTTAGGCAACATTTCTAACAGAGGTGTCTGAACAAAAACACTGATGTTCAGATAATTTTATTGTTCTGAAATGCTAGATGGGACTGACTAACATTCTGGTGATTCACTAGTGTCTCATGAAAGTGCTTGAGGTTTTCCCATTTAAAATAGAATTTTAAAATATTTCTGAAAATATTCCATAATGTTTGCAAGCAAGATAGGAAATCTTATCAGTTCTCACAGAGACTGAAGTCCAGTTTCCCACACTGTTTGTAAAATGACATTCAAAATGCAGGAACCCTACATGCTTCACCTTATTGGCAAGGGGCATCATCAGTTTGAACCTTAAGTGGAGAATTTATTTATTTCATCTTAGTTCTGTGGTAGTGTTTTATACTGAATGGCTCACATGGTCTTTGTGATAATTTATAATGGCACATGCTGTGGTGTTTTGTCTTCCATACGGTGTATCAGAGATACCAGTCTGGACTTGCATACAGCCTGCTACCTCCAAATCACTTGTGATTTACTCAGATCTTCCCCTATTTCTGACAGTCCTGGGGAGCCTGCTTGCATTTCAAGACCATGTTTAGAATTGTGCCCCTGTGTTTGTAACTTTCTCAGGCCCTGCATTAGCCTGATTGGTAACATTTCTTCCTCTTCTGATCCATGAAGACTCTCAATCTCTCAAGCAATAGACTTCTCCCTTACCCTCACATACCCTTTCTGGCACTGATGGCAAAACCTTCTTCATTTCCTGCTCTTCCTTGGCACACACATCTTTCTCTTGTCATCTACTGAGTTTCAAGTTAACTGAGAATCTTAGCCTTTATTTCATGGCATGATTTTTATTTCACTGTGTAACATGTTTATGGCATGCTTCAAAGGTGTTATCCCGTACATGGGTGAACTGTGATCTAGAAAGACTTGGGGGACACCTGTTTATGCTACAGTTTTTTTGGAGTTCTGCTTCCTTTAGTGTAGGTGTTAGATCTCCTATTTATTTATTTAGATTTTCAGTTTAAGTAATTCAAAACCTTTGGATTCAAATCCTTTGCTTTTATTTTTCTAATAATATGACTTTTTCGCCAGAGAACCAGAAAAACATTTTTAATGAAAAATGTTTTCTAAGTATGATTGGCAGTTCACCTATGGCACGAAATTAGTTTCCA